GTCCTGTTTGTGGGATGATTTGAAGAACTCCAGTTCTTTGCCTTGTAGTTCTGACATTAATAGTTTAAATGTTTTGTTGAGCTGTTAGGTGATATTAGTAAGATGATTTAAACTTCACAGATTAAGCCATACCTTTCACACTGCATCTGCAAACAAATTATTCATCTTACTATGGTCCAAATACTTAATTTAAAATGGTTGAAACTAAGGCTGGGTAAAAAATATCGATATCTCGATATTAATCGATTATCATTTTTACGGAACGAAATCGATTCTTAAATCCCAAGAATCGATTAGTCTAGCCTGTTTTCAGTTAATGGACGGAACGTTGAAGGGCACCTCCCATCCAATATATCGCAATAAGCATTGTGCTTGGGTACTAATAATAATAAACAAAGTCTCAGATTTCAAATTCTATCCATTGTATTGCTGTATTTAAACAAAAAATGCCGTTTTGGTGCCGTTTAATGTGAAGTGACAGATCGCTGTAGTGCCTCAGTTCAACAGCGAGAGGCGCATGTGAACTGATCATCTCCTCCACATCAATACCAGTTTCAGCACAAAATAATCATGACTAAACATCCAAAGTTAAGTTAAAAGAAAGAGTACAACTTTACAATCCTTATCCTGTCTCATGTAATCTCTCAGTGTTTCAGCCGAGCAAAGACACCAATATAACGCTTGTACACAATGTCACATAACGTCACATTTACCTCAGAAAAACATATTCGGTGACCATAAACTCTGAAATTTGTCAAAACCCAGCCCTATTATTTACATCAAATACTTTAATTTAATCAATGTAGAATAATTAATTTGAACAATTTTAAATGTTATATAACTTATACAATTACATTAAAATAAATAAAATTATATATATATATATATATATATATACACACACGCACACACAATTATGTATAATAAAGAATTATGAATCTGCACAATTATTACAATTATACCCCCTCCCTTTCAAACTACTTCATAGTAGCTCCACCAACACTCGCCACAGAGTGAATCACATACTAAACTATATGGGTCTAAAACATCAATGTTAGATGGCTAAAGACTGGTGAAATGTGTTAGCTAGTACCTCCAGTGTTCTCATCCAAGGTAAGCAAAGTTGTGTCCTGATTACCGCCTGATTTGGAACAACGATCTCCATTTAGCTGGTTACAAAGCTTCTCAATAACCCTTGTACAGTACTTATCTTTCACTTCCTGTAACCCACACACACACACACAAGAGAAACAGTCACTCAATCATAATTGCTTACCTTAATGGCAATCTAATCTGACAGAATATTTCATTAATTTTACATCAATTTCTGCTTAATCTGCAGCTTTTATCCAATGCTTCTTTTCAACCATTTACAAATTCACAAAAGATACATAAATATGGAAGTACCTGTAAAATATCTTTTAACAGGAGTTGCAATTCACTGTTAGCAGGTCCAGGTTCAGTGTTAATCTCCAGCCAGCTGAGAGTTTTACAGTACAGACGCACCTCAGGAGCAGAAATGTCCCTCAAGATTTCATTACAAATACGCACGCCAGAGAATCATGCACAGACACAGCCTGCAAAAAAAGTTCATTTACGAATTAAATGATCATTTACATAATACATAGTGATTTGAACACAACCCATTAATGTTATTTTTGTAAGCGTGCATGTATATTCAAGTGTACCTGTACGGCAGCAGGTTGCACAAGAGCGCTGGGTCGTGTTAGTTCAACAAACAGTTCAGCCACGTTGGATGTGTCTACCTCAGACAATGGAGATGTCACAGGAGCATTGAACAGAGTTCTCATGGTTGGTAGAAAACTCTCCTCCACACACTCTTGATTTGTTCTAGTGTACAACAATTACAGTAACAACTATAAATACCTGTCTGTGCTGTTACAATATTCTTAAATGTTAATGGAAGCATGAACATACACTTATTACATTAAAGGGTTAGCTCAGTAAATTACAATTTTCATTTTTGGATGAACTATCCCTTTAAATAAAATACGCTAAATATTTACGAATAAGGAAGGGAGAATCTCCCAGCATGTATACCTGCTGGCCCGGGCATACAGCTGTAAGAATACCCCCAGGCAATGGCGTAGTCTTTGGTCATCCTCCGTTACAGGATTGTACCACAGCAGAGCCAGACGGGACAGCAGCTTTGGGCTTAGAATTCTCCCACAGTACATCAACTTGGCCAGACCCTCTGCTGTCTCAGTGCGGAGCTCACAGATCTGAAATAATTAAATTTTATTTGGTACAGCATTTGCAGTACATTTAGCACCATTTAGGCACATTGTCAAAATGACTGCCAATCA